CATCTAAGCCTACTTTTTCATTATATAGGGGAAGGTTCTGAGGTCATGGGAATCTTCAGGTACTTTCCCAAGGTCATAACACATGTAAATACCAGGTTATACTGTGGTCAAGGCAGACAAGATAATGCATGCTTTGTAAGTTTTTAGCACTATTAGGGGAAAAATAGGTACAATGCACTTACTGTGTACAAAGTGATTTAATTTGGCCTGCAGCTTAAGCAAGACCACAGCTGAGTGCTTCATAACAACATATTTACTTGGATTTTGGGTAAAAGATGATGGTATTCATGCTTTTTTTTTTTTTTTTTTTTTTTGCGGTACGCGGGCCTCTCACTGTTGTGGCCTCTCCTGTTGCGGAGCACAGGCTCCAGATGCATAGGCTCAGCGGCCATGGCTCACGGGCCTAGCCGCTCCGCGGCATGTGGGATCTTCCCGGACCGGGGCACAAACCCGTGTCCCCTGCATTGGCAGGCGGACTCTCAACCACTGCGCCACCAGGGAAGCCCGGTATTCATGCATTTTAAAGGCAGGTTCATTTTAGGGCAGAGTTTTGTAGAACTCAAAATTAATCTCTTTCTTGCTTCTTCCCAGCCCCAAGATAATTCAAACTTTTAACTCCTGTCCTCCTTCTCCCACTCAGAGAAAGAGAATCATACAAATGAACTGAAACAAATCAACCAAAACAGTTAATTACAGTTAACAGGATTATCATTTTATTTCACATGAATTCTAATTTTAATTTGTTCTGGCTTTAATTATCAGGAAAATTGTTTAGTATCACTGTTTCCTTTTTGAGGTCAGCCCATTTTAGTTCTTTTAAAAATATATTTCTTGGGGATAAGCATATATTATTGCTTTATAATATTTATTTCAGATTGGATCAGGTAGATTGGGGAAAAGCCAAGGGCAGAGGACTATGTTTTACTGTGGTTATAATTCATGCTAAATTTATATGTGTATTAAGTTGCAGCACATAAAATTTAGAGAGTGATTTCTGAAAGGATTCTCAACATGACTAAAGTCTGAAAAAAATGGCATGAGTACTATACTTCTTAAGGATAATCACACTTTTGTTCTATCCTGGTAAGGCTGATTGTGGATGAATTCTAAGAGTGCATTTTAGAGTAGCGTACTACTTTAAACAGAAGAACGTATGAGAATCATGTCCTTAATGTTTTTAGTTCTTTTTAAAGCAAATGATAGGAAAGAAGGAGGGTGAAGCAGCCATCCTTCTTTCCCCTACCCCCACTCCACCAATGTTACGTTATTAAAATTGGAGAGGTTTAGCAGAAACAGTAATAAGTTTTTCATTGTTACTTGGCCTAGTGTCCTTTTCTGATTGAGTACTACAGGAAATGAAGACTTGTACAAAGAGACAAACATGACAGTCCACTGTTGTTTCATATCCCAGGCCAAGGGTCTTGTAGGATCCGTGAGAGTTGAATGTCAGGGCAGAAGGTCTCAGGTCATTACCATAAAAAGCTCTTTGGCACCCTGTGTAATAGAACAAAGTGTCAGACCAGTTCCCATTACTAGGTGCCTGTGGTGCTTTTCTTCAATAATCAGTCCCATTCAGACAGAGATTTTAAGGTCCTTCATCGTCTTTCTGTTTCACAAGCAGTAATTTTTTAAGGCTAAATGGCCCTAGAGGGAGAATGTTTTTGAAGTAAGGTTTAGGAAAAGAACTTGTTATATCCCAAAGCTGGCCTGATTCTTTCTCCTTTTTCCCTAAGGTCAGATGCAAGTTCAGCTCGGAGGGCACCGAGCTTGGGCATGTGGGTAGAGGGCAGCATTGTGGGCAGCATTCACTCCAGCTCCACATGTCAGCAGTGGAGTGCTGGGAGCTAATGTACAAGTGGGGATCAATTTTAGGGTGGCCTGCTTAATCCCAAAGGGTGGAATCAGACGAAGCTTCCTTTGCCCTACTTTGACCCTCAGCCTCAGATATGGGTACTTTTTTTTCTTCTTGAAACTTTTTAAGAGCATGAAAAACCTGGGAAGTGAAGATAGCCAAGATAACATTGCAACCATGCTATATATAAATGTGTGTTTTTTTCTAAAGTGCATTTTCAAAGTCCCAATTAGAAAATGTGCTTCACTGCTTTACTCTGCATATGCCCCAATGAATTCCAAGAGGTCACAGAGGCAGACTACAACTTTGGAGATTAGAAGAGCTTGCTCTTTAAAGAGCTATTTTTAGCTTGTAAGGGAGAGTGTAGGCCTGGAAGTGCCTGGCAGGTACGTCCTACAGTGGGGATCTAAATTGGAGGTCTGATTCCAGGCCAAGGTCTCAGCAAGGCTCCTTCTGCATTTGCTCTAGGAAAGGGTGGTTCTGCTGATTGTCACTGCTCTGTTGGGGAGTGGGGGTACCAGCTTTCCCTCGGGGAACTCAACCTGTGGTTGGGGGAGACCTCTTGTGTAGAGGGTACATTGTGTCTGGGCCCCGACTGACCTAAGCAGAAACACTGGAGCCTGAGGTGTCCAGTAGCCATGCTGGAGGAAAGGACTCCCCAGGACTCATTAAAAATCACGATTCTATTTTGATGGTCACTAACTGGGGCTCCTGAGATGAATTTCAAACCAACACTTATATAGAATTGTCATCCCGCAGAGTGCACCATTCCAGGCCAGGCATAAGCGAAGGGCAGGCTTCGCTAGTGCCTGGCCTGGAATGAGGTAACTAACAGGTGAGGTAGGAGGAGGAAAAATGTCTGCTCCGACTTGTGGACTGAGTCTGGACCCGTTGAGGAGATGCTGGCCTCCCCTCCGGCAGAGAGGGCCTGGTCCCGGGATCTCACCGGATACGGGTGAAGCTGGCCTGTTGGTTGTGTGATGGACAGGGTGAAGGGGAGAAGACAAGGACAAGGTTTGAGAGGGAATGGTGAGGGTGAGATAGAGACACAGATATGCAGAGACGGAGAGGGTCAGAAAACCTGAGAGAGACACAGAAGGAGGTAGAAAGACGCCGAGGGACAGGCATGGACTACAAGAAAGAGGACACAGAAATGAGAGTGAAAGAGAGAGACAGCAAGGGAGAGACTGAGAAAAACAGAGACAGTGAGAGTCAGAGCAAAGAGGTGGAGACTGGGAGATACTGGCCGAGGAGGAGGTTTTAGGAGCGAGGGAGGTGGCAAAGGCTGCAAGCATCCCCTATCACCCCACCTCCACTCCCAGGCCGCACCCCCGCCTTGCCCAGCCCACGGCTAGGAGTCGAGCGCGCAAGGTCGCCCAGTCCTCTCGGCTGTCGCGCGCTGAATGGCTGGCGGTCCGCAGCGCCCGGGTCTCAGGCCTCCCAGCTACAGGTCCGCGGTGCCCCGCGTAGGCGCCCAAGGCGGGCTGGGGAGACCTGCACCCTCCGGCTCCCGTTTCTGCCCTACGCACCGCCCCACTACGCTTCCCGCCACTCCTCTGGCGGTCGCAGTCCTCCTCACGACCCTTGGGAAGGGTGCACTGCGGCCACCAGAGACACCGCAGGAGCCACTTCTCCCTGCGGGCCCAGCCCGCCGAGAGCCTAGGAGCGGGATCCATTTACACGGGGTATTAATTGGTCTCTGAGGAATCGTTCGCCCACGTGCCGATGTAATTGCCCGAGTCAGGAAGGTAGGCGAGCCGAGCGGTGGACCTACGGAGAAAGCACCACGGCACTGGCGCCGAGAACCCCAGCGCACTCCAGAGCGTCCCCCAGTGGCCGGGCAGGACCACGGATAGAGCCTGCGACTCCGCTCCGGAGTGGCTCTCGGGGTTCTCAGGGCCGCCGGTAGAGGTACAGCTGCTGGCTGCGCCAGGATCCTCGGGGCTCAGCTCACCCCACCCCTCCCTCTGAAACTCGGACTGCTTGCGCCTGCCGTGTGGCTGTTTTCTTCCGAAAGGCCAGTGTCTTATATCTCAAGTTCAAGTCCTGAGGACTTGCCCAGTCTCCTCCCCTTAAGTCATTTCTACCATCCTTCGGCAGCCTCGGGAATCAGCGAGCCTCGGACCGCTCGTCCCACATCCAACGCGGGCAGTCCCGGTCTGTCCGGTGCAGTAGCCCGGCGCATTCGCTTCTCACCCTCCCTCTCTTTCTACCTCCCTTTCTCTCTTCCTCGCTTTCCCCCTCTACTTCCCCTCCCTCTCTTGCCTCTTAAGTTTCCTGCACCGTGAATCCAACTGTGCCAAGCCTAGGCTCCTGCGGAACCAATCCTGAGCGCGACCCGGGTACTGGGACGCGGACTCTGCCGAGGCTGGACAAGGCAGCGGGACCGGTCCGCGCCCGAGCATGGAGATGAAGCGCCAGGGAGGGCATGTTCGGGACGCCGGAGACGCCAGGCCCGAGTAGCTCCTCCATGGAGCCTTCGCAGAGCGGTCCCTGCTTGCTGGATTCGCCCCCAGTCCTGTGCGGTACGTACCCTCCGCCTCCACAGTCCCGATATGGGGGACACCTTGGGGTGGGGTCGGTGGGGCAGCAGGAAGGGGCAGCGGGGAAGGCCACTGGTTGGGAGACAGAGTGAGCCTGAGGGGTGACCCTCACAGACCCGGGCAGGCTTCCACTCTAGAAGTTAGCGACTGGCTGTGCCCCTTCGCTCGAAAAAAGTAGTACATGTGTATGCGCGTGGTATCTGTGTGTGTGCAGGGCGCTCGAATGGGTAAATTGAAGCCGGCTTTCCTATATGCAAATTGCATTCACTTTCCCCACCCCCATCGCACCAAACGCGTGGAGATACCCGGTACCTAATCCTGGTCAGCCCTACCTACCCCTTCCTCTTCCCGCGCCCCCCTCGCTCAATATCTCTCGCTCGCTCTCCCTCTCTTTCTCTCTCCACCTCTCTCTGCTGGTGTGTACGTGTGTGAGCACTGCCAGGGCTGGCGAAGAACCAGCCACCGCCTTTAGTCCGAGCCTCCCGGCCATCAAACACTAGGGCAGGTCTCGCTGCCAGAGACGCTTGGTCTCGGAACCAGCCTGCACGCGGCTCTGTGTGCCCCGCCACCTCCTGGCTCCACCTCCCGGGAACTCGCACCCGAGCAGCACAGGGCGCAAGGAGCCCCTCATCCTCCAACCCTCCTGCCCGCCTGCCTGCGGACCGCGCGCTCGCGGGTTTCAGGCGCTGGATTTGCTCGCTTTTCAGTTTTTCCTGCCTCCCCCACCTCCGGGTTTTTTTTTTTTTTTTTTTTTTGGTCCATCCCTCCCGCCACGACCCCCTTTCCGCGCTTGGTTGCCAAGCCTAACCTTGCCCGCGTGGTCATGGGATGTCTAATTTCATTTGTATCTAGGCTGCTGAGAGCGCTCCTTGCTCTATAAAGTGGATGTCAGGTGGATCTATGTTTTTGAAGGAACAAAGACTCAGCGAACGCACCGCCGAGGAAGTTTGAGACGCGGGAGGATGCAGGCTACGTGCTGGTACGTGCTTCTCCTCTTGCAGCCCACCGTCTACTTGGTAAGTCGCTGCCAGTCCCGCGCCCCCGCAATCACACCCTGGTCGCAAGGCCAGGCAACTGGGGGCGCGCGGGAGGAGGGTGAGACCGCCAATTCAGCGAGAGCGACGTTCCTAGCGACGGTGTTGGAACAACTTTGTCAAACTGATCTCCCCATCCCTGTGGGATTTTCCGGGGCTCCCACCCTCGTTTCCTGCTCCAGTACCCCCTCCTCTCCTGCGATTGATTCTAAACCGCGTCTAGGGCGCCCTAGATACCCAGAAACCGAAGAGATAGCTGGACGGGATGCTTTATAGGGAGAGAAGGCAAAGAGAAGGGATGGAAGACAGGGAACTCTTATTAGTTCATCCAGAGTTTAAACGAAAGGAAATGGAGGTGGAGAATGGAAAGCAATGAATCTGCCCAGGTCCCCGACTTTGAAAGTAAATCCACCCACCTAACCCCCAGTTTGGAGATGCGGCACATAAAGAAGTGCAGGTAACTTTGTTCGACTTGCAGGGTTCAGACAGGACAAGTTTAACTATCTAGGAGCCCCACAAGCGTCCAGATGGAGTTGGGTCAGAGATGCTCCAGCAAACATGTAGAGGCTCCCCTTCTCTCTCCTCCCAATCTCTCCTTCCCACCAGATAACCAAACCCCAGTTCCAGTGCTGAGCCCCCTTATTAGGGAGTGGCAGACCTTGTCGCTAGGGAGAAAATACTAAGCAAAGCTACCATCCGAGTCCTCCCAGAGCCGAGTTTTCTGAGGTCCGGACTTTGCCCACTGTTGGAACTGGGGTTTGCGTGGGGGGGGTGGGGGGCTTTGAGGGAAGCACTTTATTGTTGTGGTGGTGGTGGATTGGTAGCTGTGGACACGGCGCGGAGCCAAGACCGAGAGCACGATTTCTCGGGTCTGACTTCAGGGAGGGCCAGGGACAGTCTTATCCTGCTGGTGAAGTTGTGCTCAGTGCACAGAACCCCATAACCTACCTCTGGGCCGCAGGAGCGCACTGAGGGCACTATGTGTTCCGAGTAGGAACAAGAAGCGCTTGGGCGGCATGATGGGTTGAATAAACGGGAATGGGGTGAGCGGTGCCGTCTCAACCCCAAGGGCTTCAGAACCCACAATCCTTGGAGCAAAAGTGTTGCCATACCTGCAGTTGAGAGCGTTTCCCAGCTGTTGCCCTGGTGCCTGTGACTGCAGGGCTGCTAGTTGTGTGAACTCTGTATATGCTAATGAATGTGTATGTATACGTGTGTGTGAATATGAATGTAAGGGTATGTGTGTAAACGGGTTTCAGCTGGAATCCAAGAACCCTCAGTGTTGCGTGTGTTTGCACCTTTATCGCCTGACCATGGCAGCCGCGGACGCCAGAGGGCGCTGCGCGTCAGTGTCCTCGCCTACAGGACACCTTGGGGTAAACAGGTGAAAGCCCGGGCAGCCAATCCAAAAGAACTGCCTTTCTGACTCCTTTACCGAAGTCTGTGCCTTCCCCGGCTAGAACGCAGACGCACTGCAAAAAGTGTCCTTCCCATTTCTCATCTTCAATCATTCTTGCCCACCTGTGTCCAGTAAACCCACTGACATTGAGAGCTTAGAGAAGCAGGGCAGAAAGTTTGGCCAGAGGAAACACAGAAATTGTTTGTTGAAAGAAGGGGGAGGGACCCAAAGTGAAAGCTACAGAGGGAAAATATTAAAGATTCCCTTGACCATGGAAACCCTCCTGCCCCTCTCCTCTGCATACCTTTACGCAGGACCTGAACCTCAGGACTGTTCGTAACGTCCTTGAACTGTGCTCACACACGGCAGAAGCTCGCGGCTGTGGTGCAGTTATTGCTTGGAACAAGTATTTCGATAGTCTGGAAAATATCTGTCAAAAGTAGAAGTGAAATCAATACGTTGTGTTAAATTTTAAATGTGTTTGTTGGCAGTTAAACCGTTTTCCACTCATTGCAACAACAGTGCTGGATTTATTCTAATGCGCTGCGTTCTCAACAACAAGCGCATTAATTCTCCTTTAATTGTAAACTGGGAGCATTTGAAAACCATTCAGTGTGAAAATTATGCTGATTCAATTACCGTTTAGTTACAGACTTCATTACCTGAATGCCTTTTGGCAATACAGAGAAAGGAGACAATTTTTCCAATTTCACTCAAAACAATACAAAATGTGAACAATAAAATAGAGAAGGCGATTTAGAAGTCCATTCTTTTTCTCTCCGATCTAAAGTTGTTTTGTGTGTCGGGGATTAGAAACCACACGCACCACAAAAACAAAAGGCTGGTGGCTGTGACCCAAGGCAGTATTTCCAGGGATTGCAGTCCCATGGTTATTTGTCGGCAAGATCCCAAGCTGTTTTCCAGGAGGAGCAAGAAGCTGACTTTTACCATGGAAATGAATTTAGAAGGGTGAATTGGGCAGTCAGGACAGGTTGGATTTCGGCAAGTAAATACGTAGAAACCCTTGATTAAATCTCTGGGGCAATGAGACAGACCAAGAAGTGGTCAAAGCTTCTTTCTCCATCTATTTTGTTAAATACCAGAAACAGTAACTGAATTTATCATTTGTTTGGAGCCGCACCCCAAAACATCCCAGACCTTTGCAAGAAACTGCAATAGATGCCTGCAGGTTGTCAGGAGATGCTTCAAGTTACGCTCCAAAAAGGCAGGGGTGGCAGAACCATTATTTTATTTTTCCCCTTGAATTGCCACAATCCAGGGAGGAGTTAAATGAATAATTTTTTTGTCCTTATGGACTCACACCACAAGTTAAGTGACAGGGGCACTCTGTACATTGCCTCATAGCTGATACCACAGTATCACCTTTCTCTTTAAGCCCCTCGAATCCCAGTTATATTTCCCAAGGAATAATCACACATTATGTTCCAGGATCAAGATTTGTTTAGGTATCTCCTATGCAACAATATTGAGGCTTCTGCTTATAGAGACATACCTTAAATACTCCCAATTTTAAGAAGACATTTTTTTAAGTGAAAAATAACTCTCTATCCAGCAGATCAGTGCTCCATATTTAAGCCACAGTTCCCAGCCTGTATTTAGGTGAATGTTCTCAAAGTATGTTTCTTGGCCCAGGGTTCTTTGAATGCCTGTTCTAGTTTGAGAATTTTGAGTCTTTTTTTGTGCTTTGAGAGATGGGTCTGTCCTGTTTCAAACTAGAAGCCTATTTTAATACTGCAATGGGAAATTAGAGATGTGTCTGCAAAGTTACCTCCTGAAGCATATTAGCTAGGATACTCAAAAATCACCACAGGGCTAACTCCAGCCATAAATGCAGGGGAGTGGGAAATCATTAAAAAAAAAATAAATAAAGGCAAGGAAATCTTCTGTTTACTGAATGTTATTGAATTGCAGATTTAAAATTCTGAATTCAGCAGGAGAGGAACTTATAGTGTAATAATACTTGTTAAAAATAAAAAAGTCCTGCAATCTTTATTCTCCTGTCAGTTCTGGATTGATTCCAGGATATTTTCAGTATGATATAATGGGGTAACAGATAATAGCATTTTAACAGAATTGAAGCACACACTGGATAATCTAGGGCAATGTGGTTTCTGGATCGGAAGAATGAGGGTCCTAAGTTGAGTTATGAGCTGAAGGACAGGTATGAGCACACAGGGAGGGCACCTCCCAGCAGAAGGCAGAGGTGTCCTGCTTGGGGGCTCACCTGTGGCAATTTTCAGAGTCAAGAATTAAGTAAAATAGCACTCCCAGGGCATGTTAACAAAAACGTCACTCAGAAACTGAGTCCAGAGATTCTGCTGAGAGGTTGAATGATGCTACTGTGATCAAGTCACACATCCACAGTCTATTTTGAGAAGAGGCCCCTTGTCCTCCAATTTAGTTCCCACCATTTTTGCTAGGAAATTAATTTGCTAATAATCCTAGTCGCTTTTTTAACCGATATGGGCAAAAATGGAAAGTTCTTTCTCAAACTTGTGCTTAACATTTTGATTCATCTATTCCCTTGAATTTAGGGTATCCTGAAAATATGAATTCCATTACCAATTGTTTAACAGAGATTAAAGCATGGTTAATATATTCATGGAATACTACCTCTACACTGTTAGAAGCCAGACTGTTTGGGTGAATTCCACTCACTATGAAGGTAGCTGTTAAGAAATGTGGAAGCTAAGGGAAAAGTAGCAGGAAAGAGATCACCAATGTCTATCCTTTGGACTAGGTATGTGTACTTCCCATTCTTTGAAAATTAAGCCAGCTGACCGCTGAACGTTTTAATTAATTTCAGCTTATTCCTGAAAAGAAAAGCACATTACCTAACAGCAGTGATTCAGTGTTCTCTATTAAGGTCAGCTCTCGGAGGCAGTACTATAAGTTACCCAATCCCACTGAATTTCCTGACTCTTGTGCCCTAGATCAGCCTTCCAGATAAAGGATTAAACCTAAATTTTTAAAGGAGCCTATGCCCCAGCAGCACAAAGTGAGAACTCATCAGTCTCAAGACCTATTCCAGGGCTCTGTGAGAAGAGAAGTTGCTACCACTCCAGGCATTTCCCTGAAATAGTCAACTCTCCACTGACCAGGAAAGCAGCTCTCTGGGGGTGTGGAAAGCGCTTGGGTGGGTCGCACTTCTACTCACTTCCAGGAGGATTATACTGGTCTGGGGCCTTCTAGTGATACTTTTGGGGAAACAGCTTTCAGTATTAGAAGGAGAGAACTAGAATTGCTCCAACTTTCTCAGCAGTGTTTTCCCAGAAAGCCACTAAGTTTGTGGCTCCTCTTTGTGTGAAGTTGATTTCCATCTGGCTTTGAATTGTTGGCGACTATTTCCTCCTTAATGAAAGTGTTGTCTGGGTGAAAAATATATCAGGTGGCAGGGAAATTGGTTGATTTTTTTGAGATAGGTGACCAATGTCCTACTTTTCTATCTGAGGGAAGATTTTCTGCAGACTACAGAAATTGACAGTATTGTCCAGGTAATAACCACCGACCACAATATTTTCAAAAGGGCATTTGAGTGATGAAAGCATTTGGATATTGCTTT